ACATATACAGGCACACACACACACACACACACACACACACACACACACACACACACACACACACAGAGGGAGAGAGAGAGAGAGTCAAATTTTATTTTCATCAAACATAACAAAGCAGTCTAACAATCTTAAGCAACTCGTATTTTCATATATTTTATAAATGACTGACGACTGAAACATCACAGCAAATATGACTCATCTGGGTTGTTTTTTTGCATTTACAATTTAAGCAATTTTAGCATAATATACACACTAAACTATAAAACCATACTTCACAGTATATTTTAACAGTCTTGAGAGTAGAGACATTTGCTTTTGCTTGTGCCCCAACATTTTAAAAAAGGTAAAATCAGCTGTTTCTAATGAAATTATAGTATTTACAGTTTCCCTCTGTTAGCTAATAAACCGTTTCTAAGGACAGGCTTATGGATAGATTATTTTAAAATGCATGTAGTTTGACAGTACATATATTTACTCCTGTTTTTATAAGATAACATATACAACACATAATCACCTGCCACGTGTGTGTCCAGCTGAAGAGCCACCCATGAGTATGTTCAGCCTCCTGTCCACGTGTGTATCTCATTGTTCTGCAAGAAAAGACATCATATTACAAACTATTACATTTACTGTCACTGTACATACAGTGGAGTCTTTTTTTTCTAAGTGAAACATGCTCAAGCACACACATTAAACAATGGCACACACGCGCGCGTGCACACACACACACACACACACACACACACACACACACACAATCGCATGGGCAAGCAAACATATTTATAAGAAGGAATCCAAACATTCCACATTTAATATTCATTCCTGTCTGTACCATCGAATCAAAGTCTTACTATTACAGCCAAAAGAAAAGAAAAAAATGTCCATTTTGAAACTGAACACAGAAACACACACAACTCTGAATCCTGCATGTCCACAACATGGAGACACATAGACGTACAGTGTCTGCACTCCCACTCTCACATATGCACACACACACACACACTCACAGCATCACACTCTGCACCTCCTGAAACATATAGCTTTTAAACTACAAAAAGCATCCCTGAACATATATACTGCTAATTTACCACACACACACACACACACACACACACACACACACACACACACACACACACACACATGCAAAAATCACCCCGGATAATAATGACTCTCCTTCATTACAAACACATTAAAATGAACTGAACAGCAGCTAATTTCTACCCAAAGCTCTGTAAAAAGTGTTTGTCATAAAATAGTTTTCTCTCAGATATCAAAAAAGAGGAAAAATAAGCTACACATTCACACATGTCACACACTCTTTCTCACACATTTTTACCAGATTTTACTTATGCACACCCCAAAACTACAGTCACTTTGACACTACAGCACCACAAACCACCTTAAAATAAGCTTCACATTTATGCATCACACGTCTCAGTTTTGTTCAGCAATGTTCAGAAATGCCTCGTAGTGCAACACACAGCTAAAACTAGTGTTTTCTAAATTGTAAAGTTGTACCCAAGGATTATTAAATATAACGTTGTAAGTTTGAATATTTGCCTATCTAAGGTTTTTCTGCTGTGGTTACACACACACACACACACGCACACACACACACGCACACAGACTTGAGCCGTTAGGCATGCGTGTGTCTATGTCTGGGGATCTTTCTGCATGTTTACAGTTTCAATTTTGCCTTTAAAAAAATCCAAACCACAAAGCATTGCTCATGTTTAACTTTCAGCCAGTCTCTCCTCACCACACAGCTACACGCTCATTCTGACATATTTTCAGAGGCTAAGCTGATCACATTTTACCCACTTACACCCTAAAACCACCGTCCACCTTGACACTATGGCACCACAAACTAGTTTTTACCATAACCTTAAAATAAGCTTCACATTTATGTGTCATACATGTCACAGTTTTGTTCATAGATGAACGCCTCATAGTCCCACACACAGGTAAAGTTAGTGTTTAATTAATATAATATTATATATTTATTACTGTTATATGTTTAAATATTTGTCTCTCTCAGCTTTGTCTATTTCACACACACACACACACACACCACTTCATTTCCACACACACCATTTCCATCTGTTAGAAGTGTGTGTGCATGTGTGTGTATGTCTAGGTATCTTCCTGCAATTCTACATTAACATTTTTATTAGAAGTGTTACTTTTTCATGTCCATGTCTGTGGGAACGAGTGGGTTAATGTGTATTATGTTGCACACACTTGGAATATATCTACGTAGGTGCTCAGAAAGACATTTAGACAAACACAATTTCCTACACACACACGGACAACTATTGACACTCACGTTTTTGAAGGCATTAATATTCATGTGCATGAAGTCATTCTTACACACACTGTGCACAATTTTACATTTAGTAGCTATATACGAAAGTGATCAGAAACAGAATTTTTGCACACACACACACACACACACACACACACACACACACACACACACACACACACGCACACAGAATCTAGTAAATTAGAAAGCAATACCACCATGTGAGCATAATTTAAAGGAGTTAAAATAAAATGTATTTTTTTAAGTTTGGCATTAGCAGTTTTACATCTGCATTAAAAGCAGTTTCAAATTTACATTCAGATTACACAACTTTTTACATTTAATCTGCTGCTTGACATTTCAGACATTTACAACATCAGTATGATATCTCAAAATGCCATTTTGCCACTTCACCAGCTCTTACTGTATCTGCTGTGAGGAATTTTCAAAATGACGCACAGGACAGCAAGCCACCTGGCACCAAGTGTGCGCCAAGGCACAATAACCTCTGAGTTAGGTGCTGACCCTGCAGTAGAATTTCTAAATAGTTCATATTTGAGGTCTCCAGTAAGTACATATATATGTTAATTTAGGCTCCCAGATTGTCTAATATTTTCCTTTAAAAGAATACTGGGTAGGATCTGGTTAACATCAAGTATGATGAAGATTTAGACATATTTTTTTATTCAGCCAGTTTCTAAAGGTGTCTCTCTGCAAACCTTGCCACTAACCTTCAAAATTAAAATTAATTAATAATCCTTGGTATTATGATACAACAGTCCTACAATAAATCAGTAAATAAAATCAGTACAACAAAAAGTGACTGAAGGTTTAAAATGGTTTAAAATGAAAGATTGGTTTTAGAGAGGTTTAGATTCAGCTTTATCCTGTATTGTGTTGCATTATACTGAAATATGTTTCCATTATTGTGTCCACCCTATGGACATCAATAAACAGAACCATCCATCAGTATAGCACAATATCACTTTTTTCCATTTAACAATTTTTATTACAAATATCAAAGTTTTTACAGTCCTCATAAGATATTTTTGGGAAATGAATTCGAACTGCATCAGAGTGTGTTAGTGTTTCCTCGCTGTACCTTATAAACTGGTGGTTGACTGTGTAAGCAATCATTAACCTTAAATCCAGACACAGAAGCATCGGTACAGACTCAAAAAAAACCCTTCGGATCATTTCTTGTCAAGACATTTTTACAAATTTTGTAGAAAATACTTAATCCTGTAGGGCAGAGATCTACCCAGCGCATGTTTTCAATGTTAAAGGGGATTTAGTGCTGTTTTTCCAAGAAAGCTGAACTTCTCTGTTTTTTTTAAGTGGTCTTCCCATTGTTTTTCATGTCCTAAGTCTTCAATATAGATTTTAAAATTCTGGAGACATACAAGGTTTTTATTTTTTTGTGGTTGAAAGATAAAGAACTCAGATTTGGTATTCTGGAATTCAAAACTCTTCCCTAATTCAGGATCCAAAGTTCATTTATGGGGTCCCTAAAGAATTGGTTTGATAATCAGAGAATTAGTATGAGATTTAACCCAGTTTTACTCTATCAATAGCTGATAGAATGTCTTAAAATAACAAAGTTTTACTAACAAGAAATAAAACAAACAAACAAACAAACTCCATAATCAGCGATGTCACCTTAGGTCACATTAGGCCGGGGTAGTGTTTTTTCGCCTTATGTTCCAGAAGCTACTTAAGAGCTGGAATACAATTTATCTACCTGCATTGTTTAATCATGACTCACACTCACTCTTTCTGCAGCTTTAAAGAGTCTCAAATATGCTGACGCAGTCTAAAAGGTGGTTTAAAACTGGTTCTTGGAGGTGTACTTAAGCGGAAGCATAATTTCCCTGCATTTACTGACATAAACTGGTTGGTTCATTGCTATAGATGTTTTTTTTTTTAACTGAGATTATTCCTGCTGTGCTTGTTGGAACTTGACTGGGCTTTTTTCCTTTCCTTGCTCCACCTTTTTTGCTTGTTTTTGCAATTTGTTTTCCACCTGTACCTGTGCAAACTTGCCAAATGTATTTAGGGTTTACCTTGATTTTCTAATTTTTGAAACTGAGATAATTGTTTTCTGAGTTTGTGGTGGAAAGAAATGACTTTAGATTTTGAGAAATGTAGTTTTCTTCAAAAATGATAACTTCACATTCAATAAGAAAAGATTTCATTCATACTTGAGCAATCACAGGTCACACCCTGTTTACTTTGCCCCAGGATTAGGCCACTCTGACTGGTTCTGAGTGCAGGGGGTGTGGATGTGTCTCACTTAAACCTGTTTGACTTTCTGGATTTTCAGGCGGTGCTGATGGAAACAAAAGTGTTGCTTGATCTGAGTGCTGCCCGTTCAGCTGCTGCTCCCACCCTGCTGGATCCAAGAGCTTTTGTTTTCTAACCTTTTCTTCTTTTCTCTCATTGGTCGTGTTAGTTTCCATTTTCTTTCTTTTGACCTAAAAATACACACAAAGATTAAAGATAAATCTCGTGCACACACTGTTGGAGACATCCACACAAAATTATGTGCAGCAAATGACCAGGCTACAGCTAAGATACCATAAACATATATCAAGCAGTGGAAAATAAACATGCAAAAAAAAAAAAGAAGTATAGCTTTCATATTTAATCAGTGCTCGATGTTGGGACTGTAATTAATGGTAAAACAGTCAGCCCGGGTAACAGGGCTGGGACTCTTTGTTGGTGTGGGACACAAATAGTGGGTGTCCTGCTTTTTTCAAGCCCTCCAGCCTACAGGACAGACCGCTCACAGTTCGCCTTCTAAGCAGGACTTATTTTGCATCTGCTGCTATGTTATAGTGACACACACACACATTAAGTATTGAGTAAATGTGACAGTAACTTTATATAGTATGTGAGTTACACAAAATAGTAATTTAGTAGCAGATGAATACAATTGCAGGGAGCAGACACACACCAACTGACATGCACAGTCAGTCTATGTGATGATTTTTATTAGTTTCAGCAAGGAAATACAGATGCACACACACAACAATGATGAATTATAATAAGCGCTGTGTAATTCACAGACCATAGCCAGTGATCACTACAAATATTTAAAGCACATCACGTGGATATTGCTTTTGTTTTTTACTCCAAGCTGATGATTGCACACCTCTCACCTGCTGACATTGCTTCTGTTTGCATGTGTACACGCCGTAGTTGAACCCCATCACACGAAACTCAGTGTGGCTTTGTGCATCTGAAGATTTCATAGTATCAACTATAACTATAACTATATAACTATATCAACCATATACAGATCTTTTGTGTTTTTTTCTTGTTTTTGATATATGTAAACATATATATAAATTTTATTCATGTTTTTTCTGAAACCTAGAACAGCAAAAAAATAATAATAAAATATAATCCTAGCTTGTATCTGTGGATTAAGACTGATAATGTTTTTTTGTTTGTTTTTTTACGTTTACTACAATTAATATTTTCTTTAAAATGAGCGTCTCCATTTAATTTTTAAGGTCTCAGGGTGAACCTTAAAGGATGTGTGTGAGTGTGTGCGCGTCTGTGTGTATAGATCCTCATAGTTTTATTGTCTCTTTTATGACAGACACACACTCACTGCATGTGCATGTTACTTGATGTTCTGTGTATTGTAATGAAAAACCAATATAAATATAACTACTAGTTATATTTATTTACTATTTATAGTACTTTTCAAAAAGATGACCACAAATTTTCCTCTTTCATAACATCCTTTATCTAAAATGCCATCATTTCTCTTTTCTGAGTGTTTGATGTCAACCTTTTTTGGAACATCCTTGCCTTAAAAGCAGAGATGCAGGAGTACTGCTCTGCTTCTCAGAAGCTCTGAGCTTTCAGCTGTACAGTCAGCCATTTTCTGTCAGACTAGAGGAGGCTACACTGCTTATGACAGGCTTTTATAGCCAATTTTGCTCGGGAAAAAATCCCCTTCTTACATCTAGATATGGAAACAAGATACAAACTGATATGGAAAACAACCACAATAATGACACAAGAGGAGGTTTTTATCCTCCGAGCTCTCATAAGCCTGACTACCAAGCCATAGAGTGTTTGCAGCAAAATGGCTGCCGAGCATCGGGTCTCAATAGAGGTCAAATAAAAAAGCAAGGACTCTAATTTTGTCTCTATGACATTAGAGTTTCTGCTCTTCTGGTGTTTTTAATTTAATAGTCGTTGTTAATCTTACAGTATCACATGTGATATGACTGAATTCAGAAAACCAGAAATTGTTTTCAGTAGGCAGATTAAAAAGGATAAAATCAAACAAGAGACTCACAGAACATTTAAAACAACCTTTTAGCTGAATGAGGTGTGAAATTATGGTGTTTCTTTCTCCATCCACACTGAGACAAACTTCCTGTAGAAAATCAGGTATTACAATTTGACTTGAAGTTTGAAGCCGCAACACTGACGTACATCTGTTCCTTTGTTTCTAATCCTTTAAATTATAAAAATCTCCACAAACAAGTAAGAGCATATAAGATCTTAAAGGAAATAAGACTCCTCCCTGTTTGATCTCAGCACATTAAGCACTGAATCTTTGTATTCATGACAGAAAAGTTTCTGCACTCCTGATGATTGTTAACAGTCCCACAGTCATGCACCAGTATTAAATTAACTTGCTTGAAAGAGCCAGCACAGGGTACAGCTGAAGTAACTCTTACCTCTTTTGTAAAACCAAATAAATATTGTGTGGTCTTTAACCCCATGGTAGTGTGGACATGGAAAGTTGATTGCAATTTCTTGCAAGGTCCTTTCTAGACATTTAATCTACCCCCAAAAAACTTTATAAACTACAAACAGCACTCAGATAGAACTTATTTCATATTTTTCCGTCATACACACTGAAGATATATCAATGTGCAGTTTTCTGGGGACCAGCATCTTGTAGACTGAGCAGGGGATTGAACCATCAACCTTCCAGATAGCGGATGAATAAGTCTGCATGCTAAGCTATAGCCAACCAATGACTAGCTGCATGAAATTACTTTAAAGTTGATATCTACGTTCTTTTTTTCTGTGTGTGTGTGTGTGTGTGTGTGTGTGTGTGTGTGTGTGTGTGTGTGTGTGTGTGTGTGTGTGAGTGTGTGTGTGTGTGAGTGAGTAACCCCAAAACAAAATAAAATAATAAAAGATTCACATACATACTCATCCATTAAAACAGTTATGTATTTAGCTACATGTGTAGAATGCATAAGCC